ACAAGTGTAATATCCACTAAAGCAAAGCTTAAGTATATAACACCAACATCCTATTGGAATATTACTTGTCTGATCATTTATGGTATGAATTGATTGATTGATATGTTACCATTAGGTATCTCAATTTTCTTATTGTTATGGGCGTTAAGTTGTGTTAATGATATTGTAAAATTTAAATAGGTTTTTCGATTTATACAAATATATAAACCAAATAATTTGATATGTTCAAAGCACATTTACAAAGAAGTATCGATCATAGTATTTTTCAGATTTTTCTGCCACTAATATCGAATAAAATGCTTAGAAATATGAAAAAAAAAAAGAGTTTATATTGGGACACCATTTTTTATCATAAGCGAATACTGATCAATATATAGTATACCAAATAATTTGATTTCGTACTTTATCGATAAAATAAAAGAAATAATAATCAAGTTTACCATGAAATTAATTACAAAACGTATAAAATAAAATCGATACCCACGCTTTTTATAGATAAAAAAAAGACCCAAAAGTCGATAAAATAAAAAAAAAATTAATAATCAGGTTTACCATGAAATTAATTACAAAACGTATAAAACAAAATCGATACCCACGCTTTTTATAAATAAAAAAAGACCCAAAAGTTGGTACTAAAAATAACTAAATAAAAATTGCTATTAACACAATTATTTTGGAACATTTTTTTTTCTAAAATTATAATTGAATAAATCAATTGAATTTACGTAATCTCCGTAATTAGAGTATCTTATAAAAAATTTTGTGGTCTACTTATTTTTTAATTATCCACAATTTGAGTAACTAAATATACAAAAAATTAATGGCATTTATTAAATAATATTTAAATAAAAGTTGTCATTAACGTAATTTTTTTAGAATTATTTTTTGCAAATCGCATAATTGATTATTGTTGTCGATATTTCCATAATTGTAGTAATTACTTACATATTGAGTAAATCAATCGAATTCTCATAATTTACGTAATTAAAGTATATTAAAAGTGTATATCATAAAAGAATTACTCGAAATATAAAACATTTACGAAATAGAAAATTACACAATTTAGTTGGGAAGTTTTCAAAAATCACATAATTGATATGACAACCGAAATCCCCATATTTGGGTAAATCGGCCGAAATTCCACGTGATTTGATTAATTAAAGTAAATTAAAAATGTATTTTTTATGTTTTATTTATTTTCTGAAATAGTAAATAATTTTTTCAGAGAAATAGTTACTATTTAAAAAATCAAACATTTATATATTATATAGATTGCAACAATAGGTGACTAAAAGATTTGACAAAATTCTCGGTCATGAAGTACACGTTGTACTAAATATTGTAGATTTAATTTTGATTAAATATGAAAATTTGGTTGTTAATGAAGATTTATATTTTTTATTATATGCTTATATCAGAATAACAATAATACACATGTTTATATATTATTTTGCAAAACAAATCAAAACAGTTTTGACTAAAACATTTGATCAAAATATGCAAAGTAATTAAACTTATTTAATACATTTCTTTGTGATATTAGTTCAAATCTCGGACAAATGAAGGAGCCGCAACTTTCCTTTGTTATAGTAGTTAAAATCTTGGAAAATGAATATAGGAGCAACAATTGTTTACTTAATGATTCTGTAATGATTTTAAATTGATTTAAAATTTGAAAAAATAACCGCCTATTTTCAAAATTTTTTTAAAAAGTTACTAATAAAAGTACAAATGAATTATTTAAGCGGGATTTTAGTTACTATTTAAGGTAAATACCAAACCTTTTTATATAGATATATAGATTGTAAATGTATTTTAAAAGTTGATAACTTTTGTATTTCTTATCGGTTTTATATATATAACATACAAAATTAATTGTCTTCTAATAAGCTTCGATTTGACATCTATGTTGTATATATAAAATAAATAAATTATATTTCTCTTTATAATAATAATAAAATTATTTACTAAAACTAAATAAAAGTAAAATTACTTCTCAATTTATATATTTATGTTTAATTTAATTATATTTTATAAGTTTGAAAAATTATTATAATATAACACATTTAAGTCGCACAAGTAACAAGTGTTATATTAAAATATATAGTAATACATATTTTTTTTAATTTTTTTTTTTTTTTTGAATTTTCAACCGCTTTTTTCTAGTTAATTTTAAATTTTAAGAAAAAAAAATTAGAAAGCACTCGTGTGATACACGGATGTTGTACTAGTAACTAAATATAAACGATATGAAATAGCAATCAAGGAGTCCAACCATTGGCTAACGTTGAAACACCCAAATTGATTAATACAAAAAATAAATTTATGTTAGTAAGCTATAGCAATCAAGGAGTCCAACCATTGGCTAACGTTGAAACACCCAAATTGATTAATACAAAACATAAATTTATGTTAGTAAGCTTTCCAAACATGCGAACCTATCTAAGGCTCAACACATTTTGAAATTATATATAAAAATAAATTATTTGGATTTAGATGTGTGAATTTATTATAAATTAAGATAGTTTATTTTTTGGGTTGTGAAAATAAATAGAAAAAAAATATTAATCATAATTTCTAAGCTCCAAAGCGCTAGGCACTGGTTGGACACCTTGCGACATCTGAAACACGGTAAACCATTAGAATCGGGCCAAATCTGTAGAACAAAAGAACAAAAAAACTACCTGTAAATCCCAACTGCGGACCAAATCAGACCAAAAGAGAACAGTCACATTATCAATTGGAAAAATTCATGGTAACACACTAAGCAATAATTTCACAATATACAACATACATGCAACAAAAGATCAAGTTGCTGAGATCAAGAACAAAACTGCAACTATACAAGTTATTGGGGCAGCTCTTCAATTCTCAAAGCTCGCTAGAGAAAAGGCATTCGTCTACAAGTTGGCGTAGGTTGGGATTCTCCAATGCTGCAGCCACTCTTTCTTTATCATTTAGCTGCTTATTAACTGCCCAGAAGAGTGATGGCAAAAGTTTATAGATGATCGATCGTAAAAGTTGTAAAACGGCAACTCATCAGAAGACAGAAATTGAAGGCTTAGGCAGTGCTTGGATATAACTTGTGACAATTTTCCAATCACAACTCAACTTCAAACATCTTCAACATTATTCCTCTAGTCACATAATTTTAACTACTCATCACTTTCAATCAACTCTATCCTACTTCTATATCAAATCAACTTTAATCATTTTATTTTAAATATTATTTTAATACAAATTCAAAAACCCCACCAAACCCAACACAACCGACTTTTTTAAAATTAACTCTGGTTAACAAAGAAAAAAAAAACAATAAAAACTCAACCCATACTATACCCAAGCACACCCTTAACCATCATTTTCTTTTTTCTTTAAAACAATCTCATTAAGTTGCATCACCAAAATATTGGAAAAGCTTGGCTATACTAATTTGAAAGATAAAGAAAAGAAAAGACTGAAAACAAACTTCCCTTTTATCCCCTAAAACTAAGCTCGTCAAGAGGCTCTACTTCATATTCCCGCAAACGCCTGACCACGATTAACTCGTGTACTATTTTTTCATCCACAAAAAAGTTTTAAATATCGATAGAGCAGATGGGAGGTTAGCCTAACTACAGACATCAACAGTCAGGGAGGTCAGATTTCTTCTGGCCATACTTAATTATGCTTAAGCTACACAAATAGATACAATAAGTAAAACTAGGATACAGCTGAGGATATATGCATATATGCATATCAAGAAGGATAGAGATCCTTACGAAAATTAAAACTGAAATCACAAGATTCATGAAAAAGAAATAGGATGAGCATCATTAGTATGAGATTAATCATTAAAAAAAAAAACCCTTCACCTGATTCCTCATTTGCATGTGATCCAGGGGCAACTTTTATGTCTACCTGTAAAATTGCATTCAAATTCAAGTAAATGGATTAGTAAATTGATAATGTCATACCCAATCTGAAAAAAACATTTTCTAGATGCAACCAAGAAACTCGTTGCAAACTCGACAAAACTGGAACATAGAAGACGAACAAACAGCAGGGCATTAATATTTAGACAGTCCTTAAGGCAATAGAGGCAGTCATCAAATTGAACATAAAGTTCAAAACATCTGCTCACGATGTAGCTCTACCACTGTAAAGATGTACCCATAATTATTCTTCCTTTTTCTCTTTCTTCTTTTTAATATATTTTTGTTTAGTTGAAGTTTCATAATAACCATCAAGTGTAATCTTGAAAAAAAAA